AATTATTTGTATGATTACAAGTAGTCAGTTCTTTTACAGGTCAGCAACAGCATATGGCACATAAAATAACTGGCAGACATACTTCACCTGTGTGTATTGCCCAACACTTCCCTGTCTGACTTAAGAACACAGACAGCCAAATATGGAGCTGTTGAGGAGACAGGTTATATAAATTTGGTTAAAATATTTGCTTAGATTAATGCTCTGATTCTCAAACTGTGAGGCTGGCTCTGATTTCTTCTAGTGGAGGCGCAGATGTGCCTAGGGGAAATGAAAAAAGGAATATCTTTTCTTAAACAGATTATTTTCACTTAGGACTCAGCAGAAATGGACCTGTTTAATTAAGTGAATATTCAATATTGAATATTCAATTGACATATCAGCTTTTGTTGATGTTAAGTGCCAAAACTAAGAGTTCCAGCAAAAAAATGAAATTAACAGGTTGCTCTGTATTCTTCTAAAATGCACCATTTAGAACAGTTTCCCACTGAGACAATTTATCTCATTGATGTCAGAGGAACCCTAAATATTTCCTTAACATATAGAGAGGAAAAATCCTGGATTAGGACATAACTAATCTAAATCCTAACCTAAGTGACAACTTCCAATCTAAAATACAATATGGCCCGGTGTAAACTTGATTTTCCTGATTTATAATAAAGTACCCATTTCATTTGTCTCTGGACACATAATTTAAACAAAACAACAAAATTAGTTAACTGACATTAAATAAAAATAATATGCTCCATCTAGAAAATAAGCACATCATCAATACCGTATATTCCCCACTATCACCACCAGGCAGAGAGTCCTGTGAAAATAGATAGTCTTTACACCATGCACTGAAGGTTAACAAACTGGCTCTTTTGAACCAATGTGGAAGTGAATTCCAGAATTGTAGATGGCCTATCAGCAGCCACCACATATGCAAGTCAAGGCAATATTAGAAAGAACACTGCACTCTAGTTAATCTGAAAGATCGTGCTGAAACAGAGAGACAGGTGATATCTCAGGTATATATGGTCCAACCCAGATAAGACTTTAAAGATCACTTTCAACACCTTAAATTGCATTCATAGGCAAAAAGATGTCACCAGAAGCCACTATTTGCAATGCCTTGTGCTGCAATGTATATACTACATATTAGCACAGTATTTTACAAAAATTTTTAACAAGCATTGAGTGTATTGGTTGTCATATGCATGACTGTACCATGTTTTGTGTACCAGTTGACTGTACCACTAATCATCACTGGAATGAGATATTTAGCTTAATTCTGGCTGAACTGATGAAGGTCTACAAATGTTCCTCTACAGTATGGATAAAAGGCAACATGTTTAGCAGACTCATGAAGTTGTCAGATCCTCCTAGCTCCATCCTACAGTGCAGTACCTTACCTTTAGAAATTACTTCAAACCCTCTGCTCCTAGCAATAATCATGAACACTATCAGAAGGTGTCCAGGAATGAAATGTGGGTGTGTAGAACAATTTTGACACATCTATTAAAAACAAGTGAGCCAAAGCAACAACTATATGCTCTGTCTCTCCAATGTGTTTTTTCTTGTTTAGTACAGAAATAGTCTTTTGGGTTTATATCCTGAGCTAGTGTTATGGAACTCAGCTAACTTTTACACCACGTGAGGATCTTGCCCTCTGCATCTTGATCACAGGGACACAAACATTTTGGTAATTTTATCCATGCCTTGCTAGTGAGGAATCTTCCATTTTTAAATTTGATCTTGATCCTGCACAGGGATTGGCCCAAAGGGACCTGTATGCCTGTGTAAAGTCAGTGGGACCCCATGTGGGTGGATTGCTGTGCAGGATCAGCTCCATAGTGTGTTTGGTTTCCGGAAGAACATATTTAGAACATAGACAAAACTTGTAGAAAATCGGAGTAAACATGGATTGTAGAGCACTTAAGAGTCAAACTTTAAACTTTAAACCTTAACTATAGAAGAGTATATTGTGTTTTTGAAGAGGAAAAAAAAAAGCCCTCACACAAATATAGCAAAAAAAAGATACTGTACAATAATTGGTTACACCAGACATCTACTTAGATGCTTCACTACTGTGTCAGATATAAGAAATATAGGCCAGCCAACTTTACTGGTGACTTAAATTTGCAAGACAAAATTCACCTGTATGGAAATTAATTATTAGTGTATACACTTATTGAATCTTGGAATATTTCTGGGCCTAAAATATTCATGTAATCTTTTTTTGTCTTCAGTGCAGGTCTATTTGACCACTGAGTGGTATTATCTGGTGTTGGTTTACAGCATATCACATGTTGTGCTCTAAGTGAATGTTCTCTGATCTTCTTTGCTGTAATGAGCCATGTGACTTTATCAGGAATGTAAATAATTTGGTGGTCTTGAGAATGTGTGAGGAGGAATTGTGATGAGACCATCTTGCCTCTACCCCCAGGCACAAAGCTTTCTTATGACCTCAGTGCCAGTTCAGATGTGGTCTTCTGGTTTCAACCTCTACTAACACCAAACTTATCATTCTGTGAAACAATGATCTGGGAAGAAGGAATGACTGGATGGACAAAGCATATAAGAAAAAGTCTTTTTCACACACAACAGAATGTTGCATTCTTGCCAATGCCAAGTGGTGATTTTTAATAGATGGGTTTCGGAGTGGGTTTGGCCTACACAAAATGGGCATGAATTTGCATGTCAAGCGATTCTATAATGCTAATCACAGCAAGCGGGTAAATGTTAACAGGTTTCATAGACAGGCACATTTTATATTTCAATCAGTCTGATTTTTTTTTTAAACCAGAGATGTGTTGAATCAGCGATTCTATAATCCAGGATGTGGTGAAGTTATGATGTGCTCTAGTATATGTGAACCACATGGCTTTTTTTCACACAATTGTGCCTGCTGATTTCATAGGCAAGTTTTAATTCACAAACATCATAGTCCTATAAACCATGCAACAGAAATTAGCAGTTAAGATCTCTTATTCAATAGTCTCCAGTAATCTACTCGTGAGAATTGGTGTAGGATGAAGTTTTGCCAAAATGTCTTTTGTTCCTGCTGTTAGGAAGCCTTTGTAGTAGGAAAAATAGCAATGAATTTATGAAAAATGGGAACAGCAAACCTTTTAAGGTACTTGGCTTAGAAAAAATATTAGTTTAACTAATGGGTAAAACATGAAAAGGTCAGGTGATGGTGTGAGAGATTTAATGAACCCAGTGTATGTGGAAAGATTCATTGAATATGGTTAGCGGAGCTACAGGGTATTAGTAGATTAGAATAAAAATTCTGCCCTCTTCACACTGCTCTCGTTCAGTGAAATGTAATTTTCTGTGGGAAGATGTTTATTCATATAGATCAGAGATTCGCAGCCTGGAGGTCATGAACAGGTTTCAGGAGAGTCATGGCCACCCTCCCTTTCTTTATGGAGTGTGTGTGTGTGTGTGTGTGTGTGTGTGTCTTGTAACATTGGTTCACATTATGGAAAAGTTTGAAAACCATTTATATGGATGTTTGCTTACAGAAAGAAAGCACTGTGCTGGGGTGGGGGAGTGTGGTGTCAATGCTACCAAATTTGGGGCCCTTGTTATATTTAAAGCATGCCCATAAGCGTGACGATTTTGACACCTTTGAGAGGGCTTGAGATGAATTGCTTTTCAGTGGGTGCAGTGAGTGCCCAATATGACACATCCACCCCACTCAATCAGCATGATATCTCTTGACCACTCTCTGGTGGTTCTTCTAAACCAGTGGTTCTCAGACTTTTGTACTGGTGAGTACAAAGTACAAAGTGAGTACAAGCCTCTGAGTGCGACCCCCCCCTTATAAATTAAAAACACTTGTTTATATATTTAACACCATTATAAATGCTGGAGGCAAAGCAGGGTTTAGGGTGGAGGCTGACCGCTCACGACCCCCCATGGAATAACCTCTCAGTCCCGACCCCAGTTTGAGAACCTCTGTTCTAAACTATTCTCCCAGCCTCTTCCCCAGTTCCCTATCCGACCTCTGTCTTCTCTCTGCATTGATGGAACCCACCTAGGCTCCTTCAGAATATTTTTCCTTGTAACTTTTTCCACAAAGGGAGAATTTGTTCTGCTCAGGCCAGGCCTTCTGTTGTTACTGCTGCTGTTACTACTACTATGGCAGGTATCCCAATCAAGGATCAGGGCCTCACTGTGCTAAGCACTATCCAAACAAGGAACAAAGACAGTTCATGCTCCAGAAATCTTACAGTCTAGGTGTATTTTCTGTGCTTCTCTTCACTTAACAAGAGGGTTGCCATGTGACCTATCTTCTCATTTTATATTTATCCTTATTATATAGTTTTTTGTCTGCTTATGTAGCACTCATTACCATAGTATCTGAACAACATATGATGGGGAAAACCTCCCTGAGTGGTTCTTCCCCACTAACAAAGAACAAGTGTTCGGTGCTGGATTAAGCTATAATTAAAATAATTTGTGGATCCAAGCCTCTTAAGGCTTTCAACACTAGCACCACAGCATTCATGAGCAGTTTTGGGGTCCAACATTTGTTATCTATTTGAGCCACACATAGCGTTCAGCTATCCCTGATGACCTGCTCAGTGAAACGTGTGTGATTAGTTGTATGCTAGAAGCTAGGGCATGCTTTGGCAGTTCATATAGTAGGACAATATTTATTCAGTTCAGTTACTGATTTTTTTATTTTTTGAGAGGAGTGGAGCATCAAATCATGTCTCCCCCAGGCTGGTGTTTGACAAGCCTGTCCCAAAACCAAATCCATTTAAATGTTCTGAATCACTTACAATAAAGAAGCATTCTTAATATTCTACTTTACAAATATACATAATGTTCCCCCTGTGTACTAGCTTAAGATTCTGTGTTTACGACTGTTTCTTGGGAAAACAAACCCAAAAGAAGTGCTGCATGACTCTACACAAACATCTGCTGATTGGTTGAAGTTATAAACATGATTAGTTGTACAGGTTTAAGGAAAGGAAGCTAATCATATTCTTATGTCTCTCCAGGGATCCGAAAAGACCGCAGAGGCGGACGTATGCTGAAACACAAACGTCAAAGAGAGGAGCAGGATGCCAGAATTGGAGGGACTTCTTCTACTGAGATGAGAACCCCCACCCTCTGGACGAGTCCTCTTGTGATTAAGCATAGCAAGAAGAACAGTCCAGCTTTGTCCCTTACAGCAGAGCAGATGGTCAGTGCCTTACTGGAAGCTGAACCACCCATAGTCTATTCAGAGTATGATCCTAACAGACCTTTCAGTGAAGCCTCCATGATGACCCTGTTGACCAACCTTGCAGACAGGGAACTGGTGCACATGATCAACTGGGCAAAAAGGGTCCCAGGTAAGAAAACAGATCATTTGAACACTGGTTAACTGGAAAAGTTCCAATATTACATTTAAGCGAAGAAATTTCCTTCTCCCTCTCCCTACTCCACAGACACAGTTTCCTCATTATCTACAAATCATTCTTTTAAATATCCTTATTTGTAAAATTACAAACTTCATGTGGTGCTCCTTAGAAGGAAACTTCTGGGAAACACAGGTAAAACTTTAGGGAAAAAATCTTGTTCAGAAAAATTCATTACTGTACATTATAATATATTGTCTGGCAAATATACTAGGTAGCTTGGGGGTAACTGGCACCAGGATATAGTCTTTCATTGCCAGGTCAGTGAATCAAACTTTGCCTAGATCTGTCACAAATGCAAGTTATTACTGTATAAAAGATGTCCAGAGGCCTATGTGAAATGGGCTAGTTATCTTGAGTCTATTTCCTAGCACACAGGTGTCCAGATCACAAAACGCTACCAAATTTGGCACTGATTGGCACCCTTGATGACAGTCCAAGCAGAGAAACCAATAAATGGTCATTACAAACCCTCTTGATGTCTGAAGTCATCCGAGTTGAAGGTCATTGACAGAGTAGCGTGGGGAAGATTGCATTTCTGCTGGACGGACTGATCCTGTTCTGTGGATAAAAAGAAGATACTAGCCTCCAGAGCTATCAATCAAATGCTTTCATAAGCATTATATTCACTAAACATTTATTATGAATGCTGAATCTTTAATTTTATCACAGCACTTCTCTTTACTAGGCCTACTGGTACAATATACATAGTACTGTATTTTGCCTAGTTTAGCCAATTTTTAATCACTTTAATTTCATATTCTAGCCCTTTATTTCATTAATATTATGTAGATTCTGTGAACAACTGTTCTGAGAATGTCCACTACTACAGATTTAGTTAGGTCAAATGCTGTAGGTCATGCCTCTTTTCTGTGTCCTTCACTTAAACTTGGCAAAACTTTACTTAGTAAATCAATAACACACACAATCTGTTTTCTAGTCCTTATGTGTTCTTTTCTTTTTTAACCACCTTTCACATGTCACTTTGTGGGCTCAAGCTGTGATCAATGAGAAGCTGTAAGGGATGTGTCATTTCTCATAGAAACTTAAAGGAAATCACATGGGGAATTTTATTTTTAACATAGTTGCATTTTTAGGGCCTGATTCAAAGTCAGTGAGAGCCTTTCCATTAATTTCTGTGTGCTTTGGAACAGGCCTCTACAAAGTATTTTTGAAATAGGGACCTTAATGTTTAAAGCTATTGGTCATACTAATTTAAACACAGTAATGGCAGTGTGGACTAGAAAGGCTGAATTAAAAATCTCTGGTGATAGAGACTAGAATGTCTGTTGCATGGAAAAGAGAAGCACACTGCACTCTTGTCTAGTCTTGCTCTAGAAAAAATCTCAAGTTTTGGATTAATTTATATTTAGAGTTTATAGGAATTTGAAAATGGATATCTCATTTAAAGGAACTTGTCCTACAAACACCCTTTAACCATCTGAGGGCTAGACATAGTGTTTAATTATGTGTGATCTTACACTGTTGTGCAAGTTAGTGGAAAGCCTTCCTCCCACTTACATCCCTGTGAAAAGTCCAAGCACGGCAGCAGTCCTTGTGTCCCTGTGAACAATGTCTGCTCAAGATCACTGCTACTTGCCTCTAGTAGGACTGGTGGAGCTCATGCGACATCCTGTCATAGGGTATCACAGGGTGTTTGCACATCTTTCACATAATGCCTCTTGGAGCTCTCCTGCAGAGGTGCGTCTGCAACAAATGAATTCATAATGTACACTTTAAGGGCCACTCCAGGTTCTTCACCTTTGTTAAGATGATAGGAAGAAGGCAAGGATGTCTGATACAAGTGCATAGAAATGTACAGATATCACTTTGTTGAATGTGCATTGGACACTATCTGCCATTGCAGGAGTTAAGCTCTAGTATTGGGCATGGATACCTGTTCCTTTCCTTTCCCAGTGGCAGCACAAGTCAATTTGGAATGAACACTGGAATTAGCGAATACTGTTCCTCCTCCTTCAGTTTCTCTTCTGCTGCCACTGAGTAAAGGAACCATAAGAATCATTCTTTGGAACACAGTTCAATGGAAGAGTAAGAGGATGAAATATTTGAGCCTGAAGGAAGGTATTGAATAGACCTAGTATTTGCCAAATCAAATGCTTCTATCTAGCTGATCTACAGCTTTCTCTTATGTACAAGTTTAAACATGTTAGGTCAGAGTCATCCCTGGTATAACTCTATTAAAGCCTATGAAGTTACAATCGGGATGAATTTGTCCCATTCTAAATTAATTATTTATCTATAGTCCATTTTGCAGTGTTAAGTGAAGAAGTTAGTCTTCTATGTATCAGGGGGTAGCCGTGTTAGTCTGTATCTACAAAAACAACAAGGAATCTGGTGGCACCTTAAAGACTAACAGATTTATTTGGGTAAAAACGAAGAAGTGAGGTTTTTACCCACGAAAGCTTATGCCCAAATAAATCTGTTAGTCTTTAAGGTGCCACCAGATTCCTTGTTGTTTTAGTTTTCTATGGCATTTGGGTTTGGTTTGTTAATTTAATGAACCAAAATATATTCAGATAGAGAATAAATTGTGTTTGGGGAACTAAAATTAATTTTTATTATTGTAATTATCACTGATGAGAAATCCATAAAGTTGCTTACTACTGGAATACAGCTGTTTATGATAAAAAGCAGCATGTATTACTAAATATATGCCATTGTAAAAAAGTCTTCTGGAACTGGAAAATCAACAGTTCAGATTGTCAGCCATTTGTATGTATTACATGTTTTATTAGTATGTCATATATATATTAATGTCACTGTCAAGTGCCACACAACACAAAGAAAGATAGCTGCTTCCTAAGGAGGGGTAGAGAGACAAGGACTTACAAGGAGAGACGGATGAACATATGTAGCTCGTAGCTCTGCGTAGTGTGAAAGCTTGTCTCTCTCACCAACAGCAGTTGGTCCAATAAAAGATATTACCTCACCCACCTTGTCTCACAGATGAGCGTGTTAACTAGGGTATGTCTACACTACGAAATTAGGTCGAATTTATAGAAGCCGGTTTTATAGAAATCGGTTTTATACAGTCGAATGTGTGTGTCCCCACATAAAATGCTCTAAGTGCATTAAGTCGGCGGACCGCGTCCACAGTACCGAGGCTAGCGTCGACTTCTGGAGCGTTGCACTGTGGGTAGCTATCCCACAGTTCCTGCAGTCTCCGCCGCCCATTGGAATTCTGGGTTGAGATCCCAATGCCTGATGATGCAAAAACAGTGTCGCGGGGGGTTCTGGGTACATGTCGTCAGGCCCCTCCCCCTCCATCAGAGCAACGGCAGACAATCGATTCGTGCCTTTTTACCTGGGTTACCTGTGCAGACAACAGCTCAGCTCACTGTCACCATATGTCATCTGGGTGCCGGCAGACGTGGTACTGCATTGCTACACAGCAGCAGCTCCTTGCCTTTTGGCAGTGGATGGTGTATTACGATTGGTATCCATCATCATTGTATTCCTCAGTGAGTTCGGTCAGAGGCACCTGGGCAGACATGTTTTGTCTCCTGGAAACTCAGTCCTGCCGGCAGTCCTATTGAACCGTCTTGACGATGATGGCTAGCAGTCGTAATGCAGCATCTTCTGCCAACCACCCAGAAGATGCCGATGGCTATCAGTCATGCTGCACCGTCTCCTGCCAGCCTAAGATGTAAAAGATAAATGGACCAGATTTGTTCTGTATTCATTTGCTTCCCCCTCCCTCCGTGAAATCAACGGCCTGCTAAACCCAGGGTTTTAAGTTCAATCTTTGGGGGGGGGCATTCTGTGTGACAGTTGTTTGTGTTTCTCCCTGATGCACAGCCCCCTTTGTTGATTTTAATTCCCTGTAAGCCATGTCGTCACTCGCCCCTCCCTCCCTCCGTCAGACAATAGTTTCGCGCCTTTTTTCTGCCCAGACGCCATAGCACTGGGATCATGGAGCCCGCTCAGATCACCGCGGCAATTATGAGCACTATGAACACCACGTGCATTGTCCTGGAGTATATGCAGAGCCAGAACATGCCAAAGCAAAACCAGGCGAGGAGGCGATTGCAGCGCGGTGACGAGAGTGATGAGGAAATTGACATGGACATAGACCTCTCACAAAGTACAGGCCCCAGCAATGTGTAAATCATGGTGTTACTGGGGGAGGTTCATGGCGTGGAATGCCGATTCTGGGCCCGGGAAACAAGCACAGATTGGTGGGACCGCATCGTGTTGCAGGTGTGGGACGATTCCCAGTGGCTGCGAAACTTTCGCATGCGTAAGGGCACTTTCATGGAACTTTGTGACTTGCTTTCCCCTGCCCTGAAGTGCCAGAATACCAGGATGCGAGCAGCCCTCACAGTTGAGAAGCGAGTGGCGATAGCCCGGTGGAAGCTTGCAACGCCAGACAGCTACTGGTCAGTCGGGAATCAATTTGGAGTGGGCAAATCTACTGTGGGGGCTGCTGTGATCCAAGTAGCCAACGCAATCAAAGACCTGCTGATATCAAGGGTAGTGACTCTGGGAAACGTGCAGGTCATAGTGGATGGCTTTGCTGCAATGGGATTCCCAAACTGTGGTGGGGCGATAGACGGAACCCATATCCCTATCTTGTCACCGGAGCACCAAGCCACCGAGTACATAAACCGCAAGGGGTACTTTTCAATGCTGCTGCAAGCCCTGGTGGATCACAAGGGACGTTTCACTAACATCAACGTGGGATGGCCGGGAAAGGTACATGATGCTCGCGTCTTCAGGAACTCTGGTCTGTTTCAAAAGCTGGAGGAAGGGACTTTCTTCCCGGACCAGAAAATAACCGTTGGGGATGTTGAAATGCCTATCGTTATCCTTGGGGACCCAGCCTACCCCTTAATGCCATGGCTCATGAAGCCGTACACAGGCAGGCTGGACAGGAGTCAGGACCTGTTCAACTATAGGCTGAGCAAGTGCCG